AGCACCAAGTGCCGGGTCCTCCCGTGTTCTGTCCGGCAAGTGCCGTGTTCTGTCCGGCAAGTGCCGTGTTCTGTCCGGCAAGTGCCGTGTTCTGTCCGGCAAGTGCCGTGTTCTGTCCGGCAAGTGCCGTGTTCTGTCCGGCAAGTGCCGTGTTCTGTCCGGCAAGTGCCGTGTTCTGTCCGCCAAGTGCCGTGTTCTGTCCGCCAAGTGCCGTGTTCTGTCCGGCAAGTGCCGTGTTCTGTCCGGCAAGTGCCGTGTTCTGTCCGGCAAGTGCCGTGTTCTGTCCGGCAAGTGCCGTGTTCTGTCCGGAAAGTGCCGTGTTCTGTCCGGCAAGTGCCGTGTTCTGTCCGGCAAGTGCCGTGTTCTGTCCGGCAAGTGCCGTGTTCTGTCCGGAAAGTGCCGTGTTCTGTCCGGCAAGTGCCGTGTTCGGTCAAATTCTCTCACTCGGTGCAAATCATAACAAAGAGTCAAATAATTCATTAGTCAGTGTTTCCCTTTTAAGAAAGCGCTGTGTCATCGACCTGGTCCCTGGAGGTGACCGTCACGCACACGTGCACGTCTGTGCGCGCACACACACACACACACACACACACACACACACACACACACACACACACACACACACACACACACACACACACACACAGGAATCCTGTACAGCAGATGATTGACAGTTGAGAGGCGGGACCAAAGAGCCAGAGCTCAACTCCCACAAGCACAACAAGGTGGGTACAACTAGGCGAGTACACACGTACACGTGAAAGCGGTACATTTGCTCATTCATAAATTCAGCTCATGACTATGTAAATTTTAAACATAGAAGTGTGACACGACCGTTTTGTTGCTCTGAGCACAGTATATACATATATATATATATATATATATATATATATATATATATATATATATATATATATATATATATATATATATATATATATATACTCGGTTGCATATTGGCTTGGGGACCATTCAAACTTGTTCGCATTTGTGTTGCTCACGTGGCCCCAAAAAGTGAGGCGATTCCGTAAAATATCGATGCCCAAGTTGACCACCGAGCGCTGTCGGATGTTGGGTAAATAGTCTCACGACTTTCAACATTTTTTTTGTACAGTCAGTTGTGGTCTAGTGGCTAAAGTACCAGATACGCCAAGGTGCATAGTGCTCCTGGCTGTCTGGGTTCAAATCCTTCTGGGATTTGGAGTTTATATATTAGTTTCATCTTTCAGCGCCTTAGTGTGGCGATCCAGAGAGGAAATGATCACTGCATCCGTGGTTCCTGCCTGCCATATGAGGAGCTGGAGGAACTCGACAACCTGTGACAAGTAGCATTGTACCCTGCATGTATCCAATATTGACAAGTAGCCTTGTACCCTGCATGTATCCAATATTGACAAGTAGCCTTGTACCCTGCATGTATCCAATATTGACAAGTAGCCTTGTACCCTGCATGTATCCAATATTGACAAGTAGCCTTGTACCCTGCATGTATCCAATATTGACAAGTAGCCTTGTACCCTGCATGTATCCAATATTGACAAGTAGCCTTGTACCCTGCATGTATCCAATATTGACAAGTAGCCTTGTACCCTGCATGTATCCAATATTGACAAGTAGCCTTGTACCCTGCATGTATCCAATGTTGACAAGTAGCCTTGTACCCTGCATGTATCCAATATTGACAAGTAGCCTTGTACCCTGCATGTATCCAATATTGACAAGTAGCCTTGTACCCTGCATGTATCCAATGTTGACAAGTAGCCTTGTACCCTGCATGTATCCACTGTTGTAACCCTTTTTGTGTAATGAAATAAAAAAAAAGTGAGATATTGGGAAGTATAACTGGACCCAATATAAACATGTTGGACAAATGAGTAAACATGCCACAATTTATATAAAAAGATCTTAACCCTCAGAAATAGGTAGGTGAGGTTAGTTTCTTGCCTCTCCACAAATTAGTTCTCTTGGCGAGCGGATAATTTCGTTTTCTTAGCTGATTTTAGCTTACCTTTTTGTTTGTCTGTCATTGCCAGGTTGATTATCAGGTTATCTTCTTGAGGTTATCTTGAAATGATTTCGGGGCTTAGCGTCCCCGCGGCCCGGTCTTTGACCAGGCCTCATTTTTGTTACACACCCCCAGGAAGCAGCCCGAAGCAGCTGTCTAACTCCCAGGTACCTATTTACTGCTAGATGAACAGGATAATTAGGGTAAAAGAAACTCTGTTTCCCATTTGTTTCCGCCTCCACCGAGGATCGAACGAGGAACCTCAGGACTACGAATCCCCAGCGATGTCCACTCAGCTGTCAGGCCCCCGTCAGCTGTCAGGCTTCCCATCATCTGTCAATCCTCCCCCCCCCTCCCTCGTCAGACTAAACACAGTTATAATACTACACAAACCTCATGAAATAGTTTAGGGGACTGGGTTTTTGGTGCCGAGCCGACGTCACCCGACGGCAAAGTTGCTAAACAGGTCTACGAACTAAATCCGACAAGTCCCCCAGGACCTGACGAAGTACTCGCGAGTGTCCTTAAAGAGTGTGAAGATGGGCTTAGTGAACCCTTTGTCTTTCATATTTAATATATTGTCAGAGACGAACAACGTACCGAAATCGTGGAGGGTTGTAGAGGTTTTGCCGATTTTTAAGAAGAGGAATAGATCACTTGCATCAAACTGTAAGTCAATTACCTAAACATATACGATGGGGGGAATGGCTTGAATCAGTAATCGCATAAGACATTAGTGTGAATATACCAAAAATAGATCAATAAAGAAATCATAACATGGCTTTATTATGAGCCACTCATATTTTTGTCAAAATTGCTGTTATTAATTTCCAGCAAATTTGCAACATTGTATTCTTTGACTTTAGCAAAGCCTTTGACAATGTGCGTCACGAAGGCTGATTAAAAAAACTCAGTGTGGTATTAGGATTATCCTCAGCTGGATTAGTGAATGGTTACTTCAAAAGAAACAAAGGATTATCATAAATAGAGTAAGATCAGCTAAACTAGATGGAATGCCGCTGGTCCAAGAGTCAAGCCAGATACCTTAAAATACTGCCAAAAGTAAGCCATGCATGAGAAATTACAAAAATACAGTTCCAAATGTTAATTTCAAGAGGTTTCCTACTCTCTATTCAAGTGGAACCGTTCACTCAGGTAAAGTTCGTCTGTAGGTTCTATGTCAAAAGCGAGTAGTGGAAATCATTATGCACCAACTTTAATGTTTCAGATTACAAGGTTCCCAGAGGTTGTTCCCCAGTAGGTAATTTGTGCTGAAATTGTATGTTAGACCCTCGTAAACTTCTTTACTCCCGTAGGCATGATGACAGCGGTCAACTGTCAGTGGTGAACCTGACCGATGGAGTAAGCTTCTCCTCAAGGAGTCAGCTCACGACGGTCTCAAGAAAGGATACTTCAATACTATTGTGGCAGACAATAAGAAACTGGGATGAGGGATTACACTATCTGATGTTGGCTGTCTAGGGGGGGGGGTCCAGGCAGACCTTATTAGGGTACACTCTAATTAAGAATCTCACAAAACAACACGGTTAGAGAATAAGATCAGTCTATGTAAATAATATGCATGACAAATTAGGTGTGGTAAAGAAAATGGGCTCTGGGACATGGGGGGGGGGGGGGAAGAGAAGATACCAGACCACTTTAGTGTGATAAAAGAGCCAACAAGAGAAAGTTCTCCAACAGTTACAACCCCGCTCCTGTGCCTGGTAAGTCAACTACGGGCTCACCATAGCCCGTGCTACTTGGAACTTCTTGTTCCTAGAAGCTGAATCTTAAACAACAGAAAATTCTCCACTGCAACAAGGTATTAATTATAGAAAATGCTCGCCATATAATTATACTGGACGTTGACTGAACAATTTAAGGTATGACATACAAAATTGCAAACTCCACTTCGGCATAAAATGGAGCGTATAGTCTATGTAAACTGACTGAATTAGCATAGCAGTCAAAATTCCTAGGTAGTTAACACAGTCGTAGATGCTACTAATCTACAACAAAGTCAAACAAATGGGAGAAAATTAGGTTATACAATAATTACCATTGTTCGTATTGTAGACTCAAGGACTCTCCCGAGGTCATAATTTCGTATCTTAGGGGTATACCCCTGAGAGATCTACCCTTGAGAGATCTACGCTGAGAGGTACATCCCTGAGAGATCTACGGTGAGAGGTACATCCCTGAGAGATCTACCCATGAGAGGTATACCCCTGAGAGGTATATCCCTGAGAGATCTACCCCTGAGAGGTATATCCCTGAGAGATCTACCCCTGAGAGGTATATCCCTGAGAGATCTACCCATGAGAGGTATACCCCTGAGAGGTATATCCCTGAGAGATCTACCCCTGAGAGATCTACCCCTGAGAGGTATACCTCTGAGAGATCTACCCTTGAGAGATCTACCCCTGAGAGGTATATCCCTGAGAGATCTACGCTGAGAGGTACATCCCTGAGAGATCTACCCTAAGAGATCTACCCTGAAAGATCTACCCCTGAGAGATCTACCCTGAAAGATCTACCCGTGAGAGATCTACCCGTGAGAGATCTACCCTGAAAGATCTACCCCTGATAGATCTACCCCTGAGAGATCTACCCCTGAGAGATCTACCCCTAAGAGATCTACCCTTGAGAGATCTACGCTGAGAGGTACACCCCTGAGAGATCTACCCTAAGAGATCTACCCTGAGAGATCTACCCCTGAAAGGTATATCTCTGACATACTCTCCGCCATGATACGGAGGCCCATATACCCGCATGCTTTCACTCACACAGCACCAGGCCTGATAAGAGGATATTATTGAAGAAATTCCCTACCCTATTCATCACTATTCAACACAGTCCATCAGGAATAGATGGGGGAGGGGGGGAGGAGGAGGTTGTTCCATACCTGCTTGTGCATGAACATGAAGCTTCCTTTATGTACACACTTACAGAACGTCATCACCCATGATGATAACTGTCCTACGTCGAGTTTATGTTATCCTATAGATAGCACTGGCGTCACAAGGATAGCTAGATGGTATCTTGTTAAGGAAGCTTCAGGGCAGTACCCGAGACGTGGGGGTTTTAGGTCAGCGCTGGCAAGGTGAGAGTCACGCCAGGAGAGGGTGGGCGGCAGGAGGGTGGGTGGCATGATGGGCGGCAGGAGGGTGGGTGGCAGGAGGGTGGGCGGCAGGAGGATGGGCGGCAGGAGGGTGGGTGGCATGATGGGCGGCAGGAGGGTGGGCGGCAGGAGGGTGGGTGGCAGGAGGGTTGGCGGCAGGAGGGTGGGTGGCATGATGGGCGGCAGGAGGGTGGGCGGCATGAGGGTGGGCGGCAGGAGGGTGGGCGGCAGGAGGGTGGGCGGCATGAGGGTGGGCGGCAGGAGGGTGGGCGGCAGGACTGAATCAGAGAGCGCCGGACACATCCTCTCTGGCACCATAATCAGGAAACACTCTTCCCTGCACCCACTCCCTCCACCAAGCCACACTTTTGTGACACCCTGTATGTGTGTGTGTATATGTAGACACATGAAGAGTAGAAGAGACAGAAGAGTAAGGGGAGACATGATCACTACCTACAAATTCCTCAGGGGTATTGACAGGGTAGACAAGGATACACTATTCAACACTGGTGGTATGCGAACAAGGGGACACAGGTGGAAACTGAGTACCCAAATGAGCCACAGAGACATTAGAAAGAACCTTTTCAGTGTCCGAGTAGTTAGTAAATGGAATGCCTTAGGCAGTAATGTGGTGGAGGCTGACTCCATACACAGTTTCAAATGTGGATATGATGAAGTTTGAGAACCTCAGGAACCTGTACACCAGTTGATTGATGGTTGAGAGGCGGGACCAAAGAGCCAGAGCTCAACCCCCGCAAGCACAACTAGGTGAGTATACACACACACACAAATTCGTTAATAAGAGATGAACTTCAGCTCTGAGAGCCGCCTCTCTGAATGCCTTTTCTTTATTCTATGACGCTTGCTCCAGGTATATCCTGATCTAGTTACTCGCGGGTCACAGCCGAGGGGACCCGGGTTCAATTCCCAGGCAGGACAGAAACGGCTGGGATATTTTCCTTTCCCCTAATGACACCACTAATGACTGCTGGGGTGGGGGGAGGGACGTCACGCAAGAGGAGCTGTACAACAGTAATAGTGCCAGTTGCGAAAGACTACTTTCTAATTTAATGAAGCGTCTTTCAGCGTCTGAACATGGAACAATACCAGAAGATCTAATTTGCATACCGGAACCTGGTGGCCAGGGCCGTGTAGGGAACGTCCACTGCTGTGACCGCGTGCTGACGCTGCCTGATATTTGCCTCACGTGGCTCTCTTGAAGCCTGAGTCGGATACAAGAGTTATCTAAGCCACAGTGGTGCCTGAGCCACAGTGCTGCCTGAGCCACAGTGCTGCTTGAGCCACAGTGCTGCCTGAGCCACAGTGCTGCTTGAGTCACAGTGGTGCTTGAGTCACAGTGCTGCTTGAGTCACAGTGCTGCTTGAGCCACAGTGCTGCTTGAGTCACAGTGGTGCTTGAGTCACAGTGCTGCTTGAGCCACAGTGCTGCTTGAGTCACAGTGCTGCTTGAGTCACAGTGTTGCTTGAGCCACAGTGCTGCTTGAGTCACAGTGCTGCCTGAGCCACAGTGCTGCCTGAGCCACAGTGCTGCTTGAGTCACAGTGCTGCTTGAGTCACAGTGCTGCTTGAGCCACAGTGCTGCCTGAGCCACAGTGCTGCTTGAGTCACAGTGCTGCCTGAGCCACAGTGCTGCCTGAGCCACAGTGCTGCTTGAGTCACAGTGCTGCTTGAGTCACAGTGCTGCTTGAGTCACAGTGCTGCCTGAGCCACAGTGCTGCCTGAGCCACAGTGCTGCTTGAGTCACAGTGCTGCTTGAGTCACAGTGCTGCTTGAGTCACAGTGCTGCCTGAGCCACAGTGCTGCCTGAGCCACAGTGCTGCCTGAGCCACAGTGCTGCTTGAGTCACAGTGCTGCTTGAGTCACAGTGCTGCTTGAGTCACAGTGCTGCTTGAGTCACAGTGCTGCCTGAGCCACAGTGACATTTCATTTGTTAACTACCCTGACACTGAACCAATTTGTTCTGATGTCGCTGTGGCTCAGTTGCGTAGTAAGTTGCCACCTGTGTCCCCTTGTGCCAACAATCACCCTTGCTAAAGAGTATCTTTATCTACCCTGTAAATTCCTCTGAGAATTTTGTAGGTGGTAATCATGTCTCCTAACTCTTCTGTCATCTACTTTCTGAAGTTTAACTGCAGTAACCATTCTTCCTAATTCGCCCCACTCAGCTCACCACAAGCAGGAAGCAAGATCAAAGCACGTCCTGGAGGTCAGGACATTCAACAAGTTAAAGGTGTATGGCCAATAACGTAACCTATCCAGAGCCGTTGCCCACCGCCGGTTTCGGTGGTAGGAGGAGGAAGGCCACGGGGACACACTACCCTTAAGAACACGCACTTCGTTACCAGCAACACAAGACCAACGACCCGGCCAACGGGCACGGATTGAGGAGCGATGCGGTATGCTCGGTCATGAATGATTACTTACGTAAGTTTTTAGAGGCAGAACTCATGTTGGCCAACCTAGTATATGCTGTTGTTGATAACCTTTCAGCGAATCAGTTTGAATGTGCGTGTGCGTGTGTGTGTGTGTGTGTGTGTGTGTGTGTGTGTGTGTGTGTGTGTGTGTGTGTGTGTGTGTGTGTGTGTGTGTGTTCATCTTATCTGTTCGTGTGTATTATTCCATGTGATATTTTTTAATATAACCACGATTAATATTATTACTATCTAGCATAGTGTAAGTACTGTATATTTGTACACGAAATCTGCTGCATTGTTAACTCCTCTGTAAACCGTAAACCAGTCCAACTGAGTAACTACACGGTGTAACCATTCTATCATTTGTAGACAAGCACACGCGGCTCTTTTTATTGCAGTGCCAGGTCAGGGTCGTGGGGTGTGCATTCTTAGCTATGCCGTCGTCATGTGTTTGTGTTGCACATCACTTAAATTGCTTGCTCGCACGCTCACACACTCACACACACACACACACACACACACTCTCTCTCTCTCTCTCTCCACCCTAGCAATAAACAAATCTACTTACAGTAACTGAGGCAATGTTTAATCATTTCAAGGGGAACCAAGAACCAACTCCCTCTTATATGTGTAAAAGAAAGTCCAGGCACACTTTCTTAGTAAGCTGGATGGTGCTCATGTCTTCCGAGGCGCTCCGGACTGCACCCGAACACTTTCTTACCAGTCATTCTGGTGTTCAACGTCCACCTCACAAGCTAGAGTGCACCGTGAGAAAGAGCCAGTAGTACACTTGCCACAGTGGTGCACTTACCACAGTGGTGCACTAGCCACAGTGGTACACTTACCACACAGATGCATGAGGCAAGGAGGTTCGTAAGCCACACTAACATTATGAGCCACAGTGGAAAATAAAGCAGAATGTGAGAGAGAGTAGAATGTGAGATACAGCCACCAGCAGCTCCTGGTGTGAGGTGGGTGGCAAAGGGAATCCCAAGGTGTGGTCGAGGGCCCGTCCCGAGGCCCCTGAGGGTCCCTGAGGGCCCTTAATTATGCACACCGCTACAAATAGTCTAGTTGGCTCTTGGCAGCTTCCAGCGAGAACTGGAACGGCAAGAGTCTAAAACGGTTTTATTATAGATTTTTCTCGTTATATTAGAGGTGCGGTAATTATGAGTAAACGTCAAGACGATTATATATGACTTGGAAGCAATATAAGGAGAAGTAGCTGATGTAAGACAGAGTAATAACGGTGCCCAACCACTTTGGCCATCGGGGATCGAACACTGCTATACCGACCAGTCCTAGTGCATGAAATACTGAATTGATATACAAATAGTACTGTTAGCTGTGATCTCTGCAGATCCACAGAAATGTTCAGTAATCTCAACTGGGAGGTAATATGTAAAGAAGCAAGTCATCAAGAGAGAGTGAGTTAAATATTTAGGGACGGCGCCGGCTATTAACATAACCGAGAGAGACAGAAAAACCCACAATAGCACTCACAGGTAATTTACATCATAATGCTCGCTGGACCAGATGACCACCAGGTACCTTACCCGTGGAGCAGGCAGCACTACCGCAACACCTCAACCACAAGCACCACCTCAACCACCACCACCACCACAAGCACTACCACAACCACCACCACCACCACAAGCACCACCTCAACCACCACCACCACCACAAGCACCACCTCAACCACCACCACCACCACAAGCACTACCACAACCACCACCACCACCACAAGCACCACCTCAACCACCACCACCACCACAAGCACCACCTCAACCACCACCACCACCACAAGCACCACCTCAACCACCACCACCACCACAAGCACCACCTCAACCACCACCACCACCACAAGCACCACCTCAACCACCACCACCACCACAAGCACCACCACCACCACCACCACCACCACAAGCACCACCTCAACCACCACCACCACCACAAGCACCACCTCAACCACCACCACCACCACAAGCACCACCTCAACCACCACCACCACCACAAGCACCACCTCAACCACCACCACCGCCACAAGCACCACCTCAACCACCACCACCACCACAAGCACTACCACAACCACCACCACCACCACAAGCACTACCACAACCACCACCACCACCACAAGCACCACCTCAACCACCACCACCACCACAAGCACCACCTCAACCACCACCACCACCACAAGCACCACCTCAACCACCACCACCACCACAAGCACTACCACAACCACCACCACCACCACAAGCACCAACAGACTGGCTGGAATGAAACAATATAAGACGAGGCTCCCACTCTCGTAAGTGTGTATCAACAGTGGAGCAAGAGTCAGGAGCAGCCACACACACACACACACACACACCCTCGCCAGGCTCACCAATACAGCTTCTCTCACACCTGCAATTATTAACATTCCCCCATACAGCTTAACAAACAACATAGTCTCAAACACCAACTGTTAACCTGTATTTTAAAGACTTAAAGTCTAGGCAAGTGTTATGGATTCATTGCCAATTGGAGATACAGCAATATATAAAATGTGAGCCTCGAAGATACAGCACTCAGGGCTTCCAGAGGTGATATAGGCACAAGACCAGCAGACCATTACCCCTATATGGTCACCAAGGACGCCTGTGTCATGCTGTCTGCTCTGATACAATCATGAGCGTGATCTGTGTTACACGCTCGCCAGCAGACCGTCTGCCTCTGGCCCGCAGAGCACGGGTACAACCCGCTCTCACACAAGACAGTACATATATGACTTATTGCTTATAGTCTTAGACAGCTGGAACAAGTGTTAAACGCTCTAGTACCATAGGTGATTGTATGATAACAGCACTCGCTTAACAAAATAACACCACCATGGTTCAGTAAA